GAGCGTGTTCGTGTGGCTCGGCGCGCTATGCTGCCCGCGTGCCAAGGATGACGCGCGGAACATCGCCGACACCTACCTCGCACACGGTACCTACTGCAATATTATACTTGACTCCTCTTTTTATTCTCCCTTTTTCTATTTTTCATTTTGAATTCACTTTCAGATGATCCTATCATTGGCAGATGGTATAGTCCATACTGTGTCTTCAATTTAATTACAATGTTAACTAATCAATGATTTCTCTAACGATATCTAGATCCCGCGGCACGCGACCCTGAGACTCCGATCATAGTGCTGAACCAAGGCCGAGAACCGCCAAACTTCACGGGCTTTTTCCCACACTGGAAACATACTATGTGGAAGGTGAGAATTACATTTGAAAACATTGGATATTGTGAGAATCAAATTGGATAACCTGCCGCGGATACTTTGTGGTATTACAGAATCACAAGAGTTTCGGTGCGATAATGAACGCGCTGGAGGGCAAGGCGATAGTGCAGGGCGGCAACAGCGCGGTGCGGAGCGGCAACAGCGCCAACCAGTTCGACTTGCACGAGAAGTATCCGCCCACGTTGCTGCGCGGGCCCAAGGAGCACCTGCCACCGGACGTCAACCCGCTCACTAAAGAAGTAACTACACACTGCAAAAGTCTTTCTAATTACCTTGATTACTGCCAATGTTCACTAAGAAATGTACTTTCAACTGATTGCATTTTTTTGTAATTAATTTTAAATCGACCAATATCGGTTAAATAACACAAATCTTTCCTCTTTATAATACCAGTAGAGATAAGTAGTGTCATCTCTCCATATTTAGTTACCACGAAAGACCAGCACATGTGCCGAGTTGTCTTTTAATTATTTCTACACGTGTCTCTTGGATGTGAATTTATATATTTTAATGTTATTGCAGCTGTATTTGACGCACGACGATTTCGTGTCTACATTCAATATGGCGTACAGCGAGTTCCGCGCGCTGCCCGGCTGGAAGCAGAGGGAGATGAAGAAAGCTGTCGGTCTCTTCTAACATCATAGCGAGAGTTTTTTTAATCTACGATGTTTATTGAAATGTACTTCGTGACGTCATCTAATTTCTTACAAATTCTTACCGTAACTGTATGCTTTTTTCGGTGCTATCAAATATTTAAACGTAATCTTTTATATACCAAATGTGGTAACCATTTGTTTTCTTATCCTTTTTAATAAAATGACTAATGCTTAAAACGACTTTTTCTAAGTACTTTTTATATATTTTTGCTATAACAACATAAAGAAAATTATATTGGAATAATTTTAAGTCGTATAATGTAGTTTCGATTAATCCATTATTTATTAACGTTATATAAAATGTTTAATGAAATATAAAAATAAAACAATGAGATTTTTAAAATGTTATTTATTTCTCACAAATGTAGCTCTTATTAGCTAAGGCATTAATTTTATGATAAAATTAATAATAATCTTTACAATATACAAATTCCTTAAAAAAATCCATAAAATATTGGTTTTATTTGAAAACATATGTACATTACAATAACTAACGATACATATAACATAGTTTGCCTAGTTGATATGGGATGGGCAGAGTAGCTAAGGCACGTAGTGTTAGTACTGGGTGACACTGCACAAACAAACTCCTCACTGAGTTAACACTCCAACACAGAGTATAAAACAGCCAAAAATATACTCAACAAAACAGCCATAGACAATTATTGACATAGATTAATTGAGTGAGTTTTCGTCTACAAAACTGAAGCTAGTTAGGAACTTACTGTATTAATATGACAAATTGTTGAAAGACGTAATATTACAATAAATAATTTACATAATATTGAGGATTGTACATTGCCCCAGAAAAGCGCTTACGACAATTCGGAAGTATTTCTAAGGCGGCGAATAACGCAGGTTAAAAAAAATACTCCACAAAAATGTCGCAATCAGCCATTAATTATGCGTAAACCAGATTTAAAATAATCGAATTAAATAATAAGAACGAAAAAATAAATGGAAGTAATTCTCGAAGCATAATGCAATTACGTTATCAATTATAATTTTTTTCCAAAACTTCTTTGGCAATCAAAATATATCTTTTTCAAACAAGCATAACAAAATATAATCGAATCGATGTACGATGGAATGGAACGAATACAATAGCTGCCTTATCAAAATATAATTTAAAATAAAATGCATCTCAAAAATAAGCGTACAACGACAATGAATTGATCAAACATTTAAGTACGTTAATATTTAATTCGTAAGTCAGCGTACAAATGAACAGATTATAACCTAAAACTTAATAAAAAAAAACCTAAAAGCGATAACTGGTCAAGCGACAGAGTCGAAAGTGAGAGTCAAATATTAAAACTAAATTAAACAAAACTCAACATAGCTCTTGTTGGAGGAATGTAAACAGTTTGTATAGCATTAATAAACATCGCTTATATCTTTAACAAGAACCAGTAACAACAAAGGCCTGCTCACCTTTAGCACCACGGGGCTCCAGCCTAGGGATGTGCACAACTGGTGACTCATTCTTTTAAATCGATTCAAATAGACTGTACCGATATTGCTTCTAAAAACTTGATAGCGTCAGAAAATGTGAAAAAAAGATCATTCATAAATAATAGTGCATCCCTATTCTAGACAGGATATCACAATGACTGTGGCCTGACGCCGCCGCCCTATTCCCGCTCCAACCGCCTGTCTAAGCCGACAAATGTCCCTCACTTTTTTTTAATCACAAAGTTCTTTTAAAACGTGCTGATTGTCTCTGCTGTTCAATAAGCAAGCAACGAATTATTCGTGAACCGTGTGAAATATGTACTCCCACAACATTTTGTACTTTTCAATCACTATTTATCAGAAAGTTATTTTACAATACATTTACGAGGATATTATCTTAACAAGGCGTTTACCACACTTGTACAGTCAGCAGAAACGTATACATTTACAAAACTATGAAACGTATTAAGACTTTCGGTTTCAAATACTCACATATTAATAGCATGATTTAATAGTCTGAAGCAAGCAGGTATTTTCGTAAATATTTTTACGACCAAAGGCATATATCTATAGCTTTGTAAATGTATTCACTTTTATGCTGATTGTACTTGCGCTTGTTGCGTACGTAGCGCTCTGATTGGCTGTCACATACACATACTCACGTACGTACGTTACGCCTTCGTAAGAAATTGTATATTAAACGATATATCAGGATATAGTATACACAACCTTTGTAATTAAATTTCCATTCGGATTGTACACGATATTAAATAAAATCCCGTATTCATAATACAAGCTGAACAAAATTTGGCACTATACATAATTCATTAATATTAAAGAGTTTTTTTAAGACACTGATTTTCAATTATTGCTTTTGACATAAATATTTACTTACAATAATTATTATAAAATGTTCCACAATGAGTTGTACAAATTTCTATATAATTGATCGATCTCGGGAAGCCCAAAATGGTCCTGCGATTCAAGAACTACAATATTGAGCAACTATATGAAAGATATACTACGAAAATAAAACATACATATGGCACTGGCTTCGATAATGCAAGTGTTTGCAACATAATATATGCTTATACTACTGGGCTCCTTAGTTTCATACTGTGCACAATAACACGAGATAAGGGGGTCCCTTACAGAAAGAAAAATATAAAATAAAAACCTCTATAACTTCAAAAAATAATATGTTCCCCTAACATTAGAGCCCAAAACCTCTATAACATAGACCCTTGATAACTTAAAACCTCTATAACTTAAAATATTTTATGTTTCCCTTGGACTTTAACTTATCGAGGTTCTACTGTAGATATGAGACTGAATTAAAGGCAGGCCCTCTTCTAGACCTAGGCTAGGTCTTAGACTTTAGCGCCGCCTGATATGCGTGATGACGTCACAACCTTGACACGTGTGTGTTGTCGTATAACAATTGTCATGTTATTGTGCACGGGTTTTACATATATCATAAATATATTGAATTGAGAAATTGAAAGTGCGAATTAATACCTTTTAGGAAATATTTCAACATTTATGTTTTCTTATTGTTTTATTATTACAGCTAAATGTTTATAATCGTATTTTAAATGTTGAAGATTGAGAATATTTCGTTTAAAATTATGGTTGAATTCTACAAGGGTCGTAATTTGAAATTTTCAATACTTTACAAGTTATTTCCTAAGGGTCAATACATAATAAATACTTTTAAACAGACATACTTTAAAATATCGTGATTATCAATTCCTTTAGATTCACAGTATTTTTAGTTAACTTAGTTACATATTTTATAAAGTATTATAATATATTGTTACAAAGGCCGTTATGTAGTCCATATGTTTCTGTTAGTGTTACCGAATAATATACAAATATTCCTTTAGTTGAGTTGTAACTTTGTTTTTAATTTTTTTTAATGATTTGACCGGCGAAAAAAGATTTTCAATTTTCCTATTTAAAAATGTCCTATCTGAGTTTTGTTTACTTTTGATTTTATATTCAAAATAATTCTTTACGTTTTTGTTACAATTATTTGAATGTTTCGTTATATCCCTGTCCCTAAAAACCTTTAGCCCGTTTAAGCATCCCCGTCGTCAACAACAACCGTCATTTTGTAAACCGACAAAGCGTAAAACCACCGCATTTATATAAACTCTCAACCCTATTCAAACAAGCCAAGTACAAAAAAACAATTAACGCATGAAACTAATATTTACATAATTTTAATAAAAATCGTATAAAATTTAATGTATTACAGGTAGCGATATACTGCGCAAAAAATTCAAAATCGTCCAACTGATATTAATCAAATACGAAAAAAAACTAACTCTGAGTAAACCAAGCATATTATAATTCAATATGTCAAATAATCGGATGTGATTCTCTAAGCCAAACGATTTAAAACCTTATTGTTAGTACCATAAACACTCTTATTAAATGCAATTTTAGCTTAGGGATGTCCGATGTTATGTGATATCGATAGTAAGTCGAGAAAAATCGATATGTTTAATGCCCTATCGAATAGTTTGTGTGAAAACTACGTTTATTGAAATTTAAGTGTTGGCATAATTTTAAATCATCTTTACTGTTCGAAAAAATTATATTTACACCAGTGTTTCAACAATCGTTTAAATTTCCATCGATTACTTCAATTAAAAAAAATTAAATTATTATTTTGTGAACAATATATCGATATTTTATGCCATCGACCATCCCTATTTCAGATCCAAATATCGATAAAATTTTCAAAACGTGTAAGTACAACATTACGCCTATCACAGGGGAAACGTACAAATTAGAACTTTCTTGTCACTATAAAATACCACAGGACTAGTTATATAAATATATAAACATACAAAAATTGAACATATAATACGGAGATATGTTAATATTTTTTTTTATAAAACTTTTTATGTTATCTGTATTTCTGAGCATTAAATTGAAGCATTACGTGACAAACGTCAAAAATGTTGCTAACAGAAAAATTATTACTAAAAAGACTGTTAATGTCTTTATTTGGGGTCTTTATGTGCACCATTCTTTACATATAATTATGTTATTTATGAGACGTGAAATAGTGATGTTTGTGATATTAATGTAATCGACAATTAAATTTATCTTCACACAATACAAAAACCATATGGAATATTACGTTGAAAGTTAAAACTTTTCGCTTATATTCTATTCGCTTTATATTCTTGGTTTTAGACATGCCTGTCCCACCACTGGCTGATAAAGGCTCAGATAGCTTAAAAATTACGTCATTGTCAGATAAGGTAACAAAATCTGATATTACCATCACATATTTTACATGTTGGATTTTTATCAGACATTTTAAAATTTGGTGGGACAGGCCCTTAATGTCATAATCGATACGTCAATGTCATGTATTTGTTATTTAAACGTAAGAATTTCGCGGCTGCGTTTACACATTTTAGTTTCCAAAATACTACATATTCTTCAATATCTGATGTCTACGGACGAATGTGCTGCATATTCTTGTAATTCATTTATAATTTTGTAAATGTATACATATCTATGGAGCTGACTGTACATCATTAAAAATCCCAGTTTCCATTAGCACTATCGATGTTATTATATTTTTAAAAAGCTATCCAATATCAGTATTCGGAATTCAAAACTGAATTTTCTTATGACATTGAATGACATTGACGG